CATTTTGCAAAGCACTTGGGACTCCATCAGCCTTAAAGCACACATTCAGCACAGCCCGCAATTATTATTATTTTCCCATTGCATTGCTGCATTTTAACCACCGTTAACACGTTATGTTTTTAAATTGAGGGCAATTGTGCAAAAAAATTGCATACATTGGGATCATAACTACCAGCTGTAGGTAGGGAGATTATTAACACGCCTTCTGCCCTGCAAGACAGACAATGAAAGCTGACGATAAATTATATATATGTGTACAAATTGCAGGCCTTGGTTAAACACAGGGTGAGGAATTTATTGGTTTATAATTGTGACCACCTGAAAAAAGGAAGGGGGTTAAACTGATACGATGACCCAGGCAATGAGTTAAAGGAGGCCCACGGCACCAGCTCATCCCCAAGTTGTTTGATGCTGTAGCAGAAAAATAGGGGAAAAAATAAAGCAAGCAACTAGTCCTTCCTGGGTGTCCCCACCATCTGTCGGGAGAAGCACGGGAAGCACTGGGTGCCCACGGTAAATCCTTTGTGGATTTAAAATAAATCTGGGGAACTGGGGAGGAAAATTTGGAGCCCAAACCAGACTGGCTGCTAAGGCCAAGCTTTGCAAGACTGTAGGGGAAAAAAAAAGGATTAAAAATAACACTTTCAAGAGCCTTCCTGCTTTGCAGCTCACCGAGCGATGCTCAGGGCAGCGCTAGCTCCAGGCACCAGCTCCTCCCTGGGCACCAGCTCCTCCCTGGGCTGCACCCTGGGGAAGGGGGAGCTGCCACATCCTGGGCAGCCCTTAGGTCTACGAGCACCCTTTTCTCTCTGCTTTAGCATGAGGATATAACATGAATACATGCCTGCAGGGAGGTACTTAAATAGGGCCTCACCAGAGGAGCGGGGCAGAGCAGCAGCAAAGATGGGGTGGATGAGGGGCACAGAGCAGCCATCCCACCCAGAGCGGGTCACTCCACATCTTGCAAACACAGCAGGGGACCAGCAGAAACAATAGAAAGTAATGCAAAAAGGTATTTTCCCTTCCTTGCTGCAGGGCGGGCAATGCAATGGGCACTGGGCTGCAAACCTCTCCAAGGGAGAAAACCTTGCTGCACCAGGGATGCTGGGCTGGTACAGAGGGGTGCTGGAGCTCGGGCTGCTGTCAGCCACCCCGAAAGCACAGATATCTCTCTGTATATATATTATTTTTATATATATATATACATATTAAAAAAAAAAATACATGTACATTTTTCTTTTTTTTTTAAGCACTGGAGGAGGTGACCTGAGCTCATGCCCTCATGTCCCCAAGCCAAACCACCACGCAGGCACGCACCTTGCAGGTGAGCAATGTACCCAGCTCCAGCCGGCTGTTGGGAGCCCTGTCCAAGCCAAAACCCCTCCTGGCCTTGGCTGCCCGAGTCCCCTGGCCACTGCTGCAACACAGCCCTGCACTCACAGACCCTCCTTCCACCTGCCCCATGGCACCTAGAGCCAGGAAAGCCATCGCAAGGCTTTGGCTCACACTAGGCGCTGCTTGCTCAGGCATTGCAAACAGGTGGCCATGCCCGATGGGTTTGCAATTGCTGATGCATCAACCAGGCACTGGGGTTTAAACATGAGCTTGCGCTGGGTTTGCAGGGCTGTATAGTTAGCACTGGGGTGTCATTGCTGTTCCCTGGGTGCCCCAGGACCCAGCTGGACTCGGTGTCACCCTGGTTATTTGATATTGCTGGGAAAAGCAAGACAGGGTAGGGATGCAGAGCTGTGACCCCACAAGATGCTGGTGCTGATTTTGCCAGATATGCTGGCGTAAAACTGCAACAGAGTGGGTTTTTTTCTCTTCCCCCCCCC